TTATTTTAACTTATAAGGTAATAATTCTATATATAATTAAAAACTTTATATATAAATAAAAGTTATAATATATAATCATGAATTCCTTTTTTATAGTTATAAAAGTTTAATGCAATTCTTTTGCCTTTTTATTTATAAATCTTTCTTAATTCTTAATGAATTTATTATATAATCTTAATAAAAGTATATTATTTATATTTTACTATAATTAATTTATAAATATATATTCTTTAAGATAAATTTATTAAGTATTTAAATGCTTTTAATCTTAAATAATTAAGTTTTTTATGCTAAAAAATAGCTTTATTTATAAGTGGTTTTCTTTAAATATAAATTATATATTTCTTTTTTTATATATTAAAAAAGCTTAAGGTTTTATTAAAATAATATTTAATAATATATTAATTATAAATATTTATAAATTAATAAAGAATTATCTTATTATATTATTAAAAAGTAATTAATTTATGCTTATTATCTTAAAATATACCCTTTTTTTTAAGTTACCTTAAGAAGATAAGGGTAATTAAAATTTATAAATATAAAGCAATATTTTTAAAATATAAGATAAAACTATTAATTTCTATTAATATTATTTTATATATAATAATTAATAATTAATAATTACTTATAAAAATATAATTATTATAAATAGCTAGCTATAAATTTATTAATTATTAATTATTATTAATAATTAAGTTTATACTTATTAAGTTTAGTATTATTAAGTACTTTAAAGGGTATTTTCTTATAATATTTATAATAAAAGCTTTTTTAGCCTTAATATTAATTATATAATACCTTAATAATTAATTATTAACTTTTTATACTAGTTCTTTCTTAATTAGCTTTAAAATTTAAAACTTAAATTTAAATTTTAACTTATAAAAGGCTTAAATCTTAGCTTAAAGATTAGCTTTATTATTAAATATATATTATATTATTTATTAAATTCTTTTATTTAACTTTTAATTTTTATAAGCCTTTTTAAAAAATATATAAAAGCATTTAATAAAGGCATAAAGATATTTATATATAATATATTGCTTTACCTTTAAGGATTTTCTTAAAGAAGCTTATCCATGCTTCTTCCTATAAGATTTATTTACACCTTATTGCAAAGCTTTTAAATCTTTAATAATATAAGTATCCCCATTTTTATTACCATAGCTATTTAAGCTATTATAAGTAATTATAAAGGCTCTTTTTATAATTTTACCCTTTTATAAATTATAATAATTCTTTAACTCTTAGCAAAAGTTTTATCTTATTTTATAATATTTAAAGCTTTTATTTACTTTTGCTTATTTTTATGCTTATTTATAAAAAGTTACCTATATAAGTATAATTCCTTTAATTATTTATAAAAAGTTTAAGAACTATATTATAATATCTTAAGTTTTTAAAAAAATTTTTAATCCCCTTAAACATTATCTTTTCCTATTAATTAATTTATATATAAGCATTCTTAATTAATCTTAATAAATAAAGTACTTTCTTATATACTTAATGAAATTATTTTATTTTATTTTTTATAATTTAAATATACCGTTTTTAAAGATTTTTATGCTACTTTTATAATAAATCCTTAAGTTAATAATATATTACCTTATAAGTTTTTAATATTATTTAAAATATTTATTAAGTAAACTTATTCACTCTTTTCTATTATTTCTCTTAAATTACTTTAAGTTATTTAAACCAAACTAAGTTTTAATTAAAAAGTTTAACTCCGTTTTTAATTAAATTACTTATTATTTAAGCACCTTATCCTTTTTCTTAAATAATTTCTTTATCTTCTTTCTTACCCTATATTATTTATAATTAAATATTTCACTATATATATAATTTCTTTATATATTTCTTATAACATATATTTAGCATTTTAAATATAAAAAGAAGTAATATCTTTTTATAAATATGCAATTTAAGTTAATATATAATAACTTATAATTTAAATTCATAATTTTAATTATTTTAATTAACTGCTTTTATTAAAAAGGACGTAAGAGTTTTAATATTTAAGTTATTAGCTATAATTCTTAATTAATAAAGATAATAAAACTTTTAATTATTAAATTATATATATATTTTATAATAAAATCCTTATAAATATAATTAATTTTAATGATTAACATAATAATTACTTAATTATTATTCTATTTTTAAGCTAATAAATGGTAAGGGCTAGTTTTTATCCATAAATCTTAATACCTTAGGCATTTATCATAAATTTACAATAAATTACCAATAAATTACCGTTCCCTAGTAAATTCATGGTAAATTTATTATAGGATCATTTAACCACGATACATTTACTGTTGGTTGGATTTGACAGAAACCGTGATTTTCCCTATAGCTATAAACGCAATCATTATTATACTTAACAACCACTTAACATACTAACTTTTCTCATTTATAATAGCTTTGCAATAACTATTAAGCTTTTATTATTACTATTTACTATTAATTAACGTTAATCTTTATTGCTTAATACCTATATTGCTTATTGCAAGCATTATGCTGCTTAGCTTTAAAATATTATAATTAGGTTGCTTTCACGCTATTAATAGCCCTAAGCAAATTATATATTATTTTAAGCTTTATTTTTTTAAAAACCGTAATATTAGCTGCTTTTTCTTTAAGATAAAGGCTTATAATCTTATAAGAAATTAAAAGCTTAAGATTTAAGCCCTTTAAAAATATGCTAAGTAAATATATACCTATATCGCTATTATTACTTACCATACCCGCCATTAAGTTTAAATAGCTTGCTTAAGGCTATTAACTCCTTAAAAGTATTATTATTATAATATTTACTTATTAAGTAATTAATAATAACACCTTATTTATAACTTCCTCCTTGCTAATTGCAACTATTTAAAGATTCCCTAGGCAAACCTTTACTTCCTTATATTTAATTTAAATTGCTATAGCGATAAGGTTATAAAAATTATTATAAAGAAAATAGGCTATTAAAGAATTGCTAAGTAAGTATTTTTATAGCATAATTAAGCTATTTATAATAAATATAAGGCTTTTTATTAATAGGTTTTATATATATTTCTTAAGGATTGTTATAATTAAGCTTAATAGCTATATTATAAGCTTATTATTTTCTTTAATAAAACCCTTAGGCGCAATTTACCCTATAGCACTTAATTTCTTATAATTTATTAAGCTAAAGATCTTAATATATATGCTTTAGCTTATTAATAAAAAAATAATAAATAAATATTTTAAGAAGCATTTATAAATAAGGAGAAAATGCTTTATTATATTTAAAACCAAGAAATAAAAATTAATGCTAAGAAGTATATTATTAAAATTATCCTTATAATTAAGGGTATTATAAATCCCTTATAAGGGTATAAGTATTTTATATAAGATAATGCCTTAATATATTAAATAATAATTATATAAAAATAGCTATAAGCATTGCTTATTATATTAATTAAATAGCCATTATATAACTTTAATCTTAACTTTATTAAAAATATTTAGGTATAAATAAAGAATTAATTAAATATAATATATAATTTATAATCCCTTAAGGGAGAAGCATTATAAAATGCTATAATAGCTACTTAGAAAGCTTATCTTAAAAAGGTATTTAAGAATATCTATGCTAGCTTCCTTGATTGGTACCAAAAGTGCTTAAATGCTAACGGAAGGCTGATTGATTATTGATGAGGTAATAAGGACCTTAAAAATAGCTGCAGAGACAATATAAATATAAGGTTCCTTTTATAAGGCCTATAAACGCGTGAATCCCAGCCCACAGCAATGCCGAGCTAATAAAATTAATGCTGGTCAAGTGTAGAAGCGAGACGCCAGGAAACTGATACATCATTTGGAAATTTGCCGGGTGTTGAGAGTTCCATCCACTGTACTGGGCACACCATAACAAGGTCGGCTCTGCTCTGCTCTGTTTGGCACACCATGCTATAGCCAGACAAGCCATAGAAAAGCGCGTAGAAAATGTTGGAACAATACGACGGGAGACACGACAAAATCGTTATTCTTATTTAATTCTCAGCAATCTAATCTTTTAGACGTCGAGCGTATGTGGTCAAGTCTAGGTAGAGTCATTAATTCTACAATGCACACAAGCGGCCAAGGAACGAGGTGGGCCTCATCATCGGCCGGATCACCTTCTGCGTGTGCGACGACCAGGACGACATATCAATTTTGACTTCTGATTCACCGATGTAGCATCAGGAAATGTGCGCTATAGCGGACGGCCCCACCGGCCTGTCTGCCAATTCGTACCAGCACCGGCTGGCTTGTTAATCCGCAGTGACACAGAACTTCTCAATACAGACACAGCGATCATGATGTGGAGCCTGACTCTGAGAACCTACCCAAATGCTACTAACAAGCATTCCAAGATTGGTCAAATACGAGCCTGGTAGTAATAATGGTACGTCGTAACATGGATAATAGTGATAGATATTATTCTAATGCTTTGTGGTACTTGTAATGAAGAAATGAGATAGTGTGAGAGAAGTTACTTTTGGTCTGGACTTGCATGATGATAGTATCGGTACGATAGTGGAGCAGAGACACCCTCCCCCTGAATACGTTTGAGTTGGTCATTTTTCTAGTGTTCTGAAATCACCCGCTTTAGGTCAGCAAATTTTCTTGGTTGAATCTTCAACTTGTGCCCGGAATCACTTCCCTGCTTCTCATCGGCTTCCCTTCCACGAGCTGCATCACTCGCCACCAGCCTTAACTTTAACTGCATCATGTTCACCATCCAGGCTAAGCAGGACCGAGGTAATAACAGCATTGCTACTTGGGCCGGATTGTGAACTACCTTGAAGAACGCCCTGAAGTCATTAACGCAATGATTAAATTGTATGTAGGAATTTTGCACAAGTCTAATAATACAGTAATTAAGAAGATGTAAGTGATCTTAACAAGTCTACCATTGCTAATACCGTCGACAAGCAGGGCAACATTCAAGAAACCTCAACGGCCACTAACTTCGCCAACACCTAAGATTTCTTCCACCACTTTCGCTTTCCCTCCGTCTCCTTCAGCGCACGTTGCAGACCCCTGTTTACCTCGTCTTCCGTAACAATACGTGGCTTCCTGTACCCCTGAGACTCAGCAGCCGGCACAATACCCTCTTGCTTCTGAGCGCCGCCTAGCTTCTGAGCACTGCTTGGCTTCTGAGACTTAGCAGCCGGCACAAAACCTTGTTGCTTCTGAGCACCGCCCGGCGTCCCCCCTACTGTGTTCGGCCAAAACTTAACGTTCAGCCCGTCAACAACCTCCTTGACTTTGGGATTCTGGGCAATCCAGGCATCGTACGTCATATTCATCAGCTGAGTTCGATCCAGCCGTGCGTACTCGTCGATCCACGTCCGCGCCGCAATCTCTGCCATGGGGTCATCCGCCACGACGAGATCTGACTGCGGGTGCATCCCCCCGTGTATAGCGCGTAGCCGTGCTGGAATGCCTTGCTGGCCGGTCGGCTTCGGCTTCAAACTACCGGTCAGAAGATCTGCCGTGTATTCGGCATCAGAGTGCCCGTAGTAGACGTCGGAAAGTCGGGTGCAGGACGAGAAGATCATTCGTGGATAGAGCTTCTTCAGCTCCAGGCTGACCTCGATCATGGCGCGGTCGAGACGGCTCGCTAAGAGTAGTTCCGGATCCGATATAGGAGACCCGTCCTTGGGGTTTACTGCTGTTCCCCGACGCGTATCATAGTGCAGACCCAGGCCGCAGTGGACAATCTCGGGTATGATCTGGCCAAACTCCGGGATGGGGTTGTCAATAAACGACTTGATTTGATCCATGGCGGCGTTTTCAAGGCATCCGTAGTCCAGCACCTGGAGCCGCTGTTTCGGGTTGGTTGTTTTCAAGGCCAGTCCCTTTCGCCTCAGCGCAATATCCAATATTGGTTGCGGTAGAACACCATAATAACACTCATATGTGTGTTCTTTTTGGGTGCACGACCCCCTCTGAGCTCGTCCATCAGGTTCCGATGCGCCCGGATACGCACCTCTCCGTCGCTCGACGTCGTTATGATGGCCCTTTTGCCCCCAACCTCCCCGAATGTGGTAGACGTGACGGCAGCCGTGTGGCCCTGGACGGTTCGCTGCAGCTTGCCCGTTTCGGCCTGCCATATACGGATCGTTTCGTCCGACGTCGACACTACGTGCATGTCTTCTCCGTCAAAACCAACCGAGGTGGACGGGAGCATCATGGCAGCCGAGCGTGTGCAGCAGCTTCCCCGTCTTCATACTCCAGATCCGTGCCGTCCGATCGAAGGAGCCCGTTGCCATGCGATCGCCGCCGAGTGCCATTGAGGTGATTCGATCTGTGTGGCCGCTGAGTGTCTGTAGCAACGTTCCCGTTTTCGGCTCCCAGAACCGGATCGTGCCATCATAGGATGCCGACACCAACCGGGCATCGCCTTCGTGGGGTCGTGAAGGCGACAGAAACTACTGGCGTCTTGTGGCCTTTCAGCACATATTGCGGCTTACCCACTGCGACACTCCAGAGGATAACCTTTCCATCATCCGACGCGGATGCCACCATCGAATTCCTATCCGAGAACACAACCGAGGTCACTGCCCCCTTATGGCTTTTGAGCACTTGTAACAACTTTCCCGTACGAAAGTTCCAGACCCGGGCCGTGTTATCCTCAGAGCCCGATACCACCCACGGATTGTCGTACGAGAATGCGACCGAGTTGACCGCGCCACTAGTATGGCCCACCAGCGTTCCTTCCAGCGTGCTTGTATGAAGATTCCATATGCGCACCGTTTTGTCTCGCGAGCCTGTCGCTATTTTCATATGCGATAGGCTGCACGCGGCCGACAATACCGCTCCGTTGTGAGCTCGGAATGTGTCAATCAGCGCACCGGTTCGGAAGGAGAACGAGCTGTTGACCGCCTTCACAAGGGCCGGATCGTCGGAATAGGAGCGGTTGTATCCTTTGATGATGACTTGCAGGTCATTGAAGTCGTTATAACGAAGCCACGCAAGCATCCTGGCGAAGGCGTCGCCCGGCTGGCTCACGTCGAGTTGAAAGGTGCTGCCCTCGTAGACTTCTGGCCTTAGCTGAGGGGTCGTCGCAGACCCATCTTTCCCGACCCAGGTTGACCTGTCATAGTCGAACAGCAAGCTCTCGAGACCGGGCACGTTTGTCCGCGTCGCCTGGAAGGTGCTCGCGTAGTCATTCTTCTCGAGATTGATGCCCTTCGTAACGAGCATGGTTCCTATGGTATCACGGCCGTCATTCTGACTCCACCTCCCGGCCTGGGCTGTTGTGCGGGCCCCGGTGGCATCGTGGGATAAGAACGCCTTGCGTGGGCTCAGCGACTTGTCCGCGTTGGTGTGCAATTTGATGTCGAGCTCATGGAGACGCAAGCCGTACTCTTGGAATCCGTAGTCGACAGCGAGGACCGAATTCTCGGGGACCTTCATGGCCTGATCATAGAACCCGCGATGGCAAAACACGCCGCCGAATTTGTGGGAGTAGGATGCGGGTTGTCGAAGTTTATTCAATTCGGAACGTTTCGTGGGAAAGTCATCTACACCTCTCGGTAGCGGCGCGCCGTAGAGTCTGAATAGCAAGTCCTTTGAGCAGTATTTCTCTATCTGTTTGTTCCAATTGTACCCAGGCGGGAGGGGTGTAAGGGGCGTTGACACTCTTGATTGCTTGAAATAGCCCCTATTTGGTTTATTAGGGTCGTGATGCGCCGCCATTTTGTGTTTGCGCTGATGCCTTGTTTCGTGGAACAAGACTTGTGAAGAGCCTGATCCTGCGGCGCTCCTTTGACTGCTCCGTACAAAGCTAAGTGGTGCAAAGAAGACACTCTCAAGTTGTGCGATTTCAATATGGTGACGCAACCTCCGACGACACCATTTGCAACCACCGATGAAGTCCGGTGTTGTTGGACCTTTGGTTTCTTCGGTCTGGGAAGTCCGCAATGGCCCTCACAATTCAGTCATTATATGTTAGAGGCTCGAGGCTGGTATTAGGACAGCCAAAATTCACTCTAAAGCAAAAGCGTGAACCACGCACAAACAGCTGAGTATGCCAAACAACTGGGCGTATAAGTAGGGGGGAGAAAACGGGTCACACGGTAAAAGGATAATACTGCCCATCTGGCTGTGTATCCTTATGTGGTGCGTAGGTTGCTTGAATTGCTGCTATCTGGGGGGGGGGGGGTTCTGCAGAAGGCTTAAGTACTGCCTAAATTGAGTGCCTCAAGGATCCATATATGCCTCTTTCCCACATTAACTATCCTTAGTTAATCACCCTTCTTACCATAAATATCTAAGAAGATATGCTTAAAGAGCTTATTTCTTAACTTAACCCATTTATTGCACTTATCACAGGTATATTAAGAGTGTTAAGTAAGTTCGTAAGTGTTTATTTAAGAAAAGCTTTCTTAAAGGCGGGCAATTTCTAAATTATGCTTCTTATTAATAATAATAAGCTCTGCTTATAGGTTGATAATAGCTTTAGCGATATCCTTTATCTTAAAGATTAACTTAGTAAAAAGTTCCTTAAGGTTGCCGTTTGCGCCGACGATCTAGTAGGCGACTTGCTTTTCAGCTAGGGATGTTTTGCGCCGACGATCTAATGGGCAACTCGCTTTATAGCTATCTCGAAGGGCAAGGATATATCAGTTTAGCACAAAAAATCGATTTTTTATATATCCTTATGTAGTGCGTAGGTTGCTTAAATTGCTGCTACCTCGGGGGGGTCTGCAGAAGGCTTAAGTACTGCCTAAATTGGGTGCCTTAGGGATCCACATGGCTGCCAGGACGACACCCTTCAAGGCGTTAGCTTTCAGCCATATCTCTTGTCAATAGCAACAGGCATAAATGAATTTCTTTCTCCGTGCCTTTACCCAACCATTGTCCAGACACAGCTAAAAAGTTGCGCTATTCTGTTTTTCAATTGCAAATTCTTCACCGAGGACGGTGAACCACCATGCCACGACCTCTACCGAATAAATGGCACAATATCACAGTCATTCATTCTTTTCTCGGGCCGTGGCTTTCCCAGTTTTTCCCTAGTGAGCAGACAGGTGTAGGTACCACCGGCTGCGCAGAATTGCAAGGTAACTTGAGGTACCGGGGCCTGCCCTCCCACGCGGCGAGAACAGCACCCAGCACCTCACGGACACGCTTCGGGGCACACTCCGAAGACTCAGACCTCCAGACGTTGGTCACGTCAACAGTGGGACTTAGTAGACCACTCTTTAAAAGGCTCAGTAGTCCATATCACAGTCATTCGTCCTGTCAAGCTTCTCATACTTTGACAGCAGCTGACCACGCCACGTTTCCATCCTCATCGGCGCTCTGTTGATCGACTGGCTACCTCTCTCCATCTCAGAGTACCTGAGCCGCGTCCAGCCCCCGAGCTGGGTCCGCTTCAGTTGCGCCCGGCCGCGGAATCCGCCCGGGTGGCGCAGGTATCCGCGAAAGGTCTCAGTCGGCCTCCTGCAGCTGATATTTACTTCCGCCCTCGTCACATGGAATTAGAACGTGCGTTCAGGGTGGAAAACGCGGGTGACCAAGATATCAGTCCCTGATAGCAGAATTCTTTCTGACCTCTTCAATGTACAAGATAATGCATATAGACGATTTCATGCACAATTGGCGCCTTTGATATTGTGAGAACAAAGTCATTCTTCTCAACTGTCATTATCAAATTCCCGCTCCTAACCACCCGCCGCCCGGATAACACCTCCTATCTCAAAAGTTTCTAGCAACGCATGGAAGGCCTTTCCATAAACGTGGAATACTGCTTGGAGATATTATTCTCAGTGAGGCTCACAAAAATGCAGTATGAGTACTTGCCCTACGGAGTTGGAGCCAAAGCCACCACAGCACAGGCAGCTTGACACTTCCCGAACGCCAAGTTGCATGCAACAACAGCTGGGCCTGCTGCAGCACCCGCTGTGGCCCCCCAGGCTGCTCCAGCAGCGGCGTAGCAGGCCGTCACAACGCCTGCGCATCCAGCTTGGCATATGCCGTAGCCTAAGGGGCCAGCATTGACAGGAGGTGCTGCTGCCAAGAAGATTGAAAGTAAAGGAAGAATTGAGAGATTCATATTGCTTGGGTGTCAGCGTTTTGTTTGACAGGGTGAAACGTGTAATGAACTGCGTGAAGTCCGACAAAGGTGTTGTTGTCAGGAGAAATATGATGTTGGTGAGCTATCTGCGGGTACCAAAGCCAATTTTACATCATTCAGTATCTTGCTGCACCTGGTTCAACTCAATCGCTGTCTGTCTCAAACGTTACCTCTTTTATAAGTATTTATTTTATTATTAAGTATTAAAATAGCTTATAAAAGTAATTATAAAAGAAATAATTAAAGAAATTAAGATAATTAAAAATTAAGGAAGGGGTGCATACGCTGCGTGGGCGCGCGCGCGGAGGGCTGTTTTTTTCTGTGCAGAGGGGGGAGCGTGATCAAAACGACAGGGGGGGGCATCACTTCGTTTGAGACAGACAGCGACAGCTTGCGAGGGAGGCTGTCTGACGTCAATTTGCTCGCGATGGCCGGGCCATATCTGCTGGAATGTTGGGTGGTCGGCCTCCGGCAGCTGCAGTGCCTCACTGCCGTCATAGTGAACCCCGGGAACTCAAACCTTTACGTCTATCAATCATTTTGAGGCAGAGGAATTCCAGGCCGCAAGCAATAATTGAGTCACCCCCAAAAAGACCCCTTGATGGGTGACCTCCCTGTAACACGGGTAACAAGCATCTGATGACGTCGGCCACACGTAGATCACCAATCTCTGAAGGAGGATGGGCCTATGTGTTTTATTGATACTAAGTCATGCTGAGGATCAAAAGCGGGAAGATTTTCGCTGACTCACTTGGACAAGTCATCATCATCGTCGACGTCATCATTCCTCCTTGCCCCCAGGCAGGACCTGGAGCCGCCTGGATGGTCGATACAAACTCTAAACTCCCTGAGTGTTCTTGTCGATAATTTTGAATTATACCGATACAAAGCCCAACCAAATCCAGCTCCTGACAAGTTCCTGGCGGCAGCCTGCGTTTCCCAAGCCCTGATAGAAGCAGTTGACATGAGGATTAGGAAGCAGACCAAGACAACTCGAAAGGGCTCTGCGGTGGTTACTAAAGCCCCTGCAAGACCTTTCTTGACCCATTACGATGTCCAGGCAGTCCGCGCTAAGTATGATCCAAAGTACGATCTAAAGCACAAAGCTACCTACCAGGGGGAAGGGGAGGCAGAGTACGCCCACCTAGCTTCTACAGTACGCCCACCTAGCTTCCAGCGTTGGCCCACCCAGTATAAGGAAATTGGCTATATGCACTAATAAAACTAAGTACTTTCTTAATAAGCAAAAAGCTACCCCATATCCTTAAAAAGCTACCCTGGCTAAGGTAAAGAAGGCCCTTAAGGATAAAAAGGGCCCTTAAGGGTAAAAAAGGCCCTTAAAAGATAAAGAGCTTTTAAAAATAAAGAAGGCCTTAAAGGCATAAAGAGCCTTAAGTAATAAAAAGGGCCTTAAGGGATATAAAGGGTATAAAAGGGCATAAAAGGTATAAAAAGGCAAAGGGGTAAAAGGATAAAGGGGTAAAAGGGTAAAGGGGTAAAGAAGTAAAGGGGTAAAGGGGTAAAAAGGCGGAGGGGTAAAATCCAAAGTATACCTATATTTTATTAATACATGCAGCTAATTTCCTCATACTAGGTGGGCCAACGCTAAAAGCTGGGTGGGCGTATTATAAAAGCTGGGTGGGCGTACTTTGGCTTGGGGAAGGGGGGTTTTTAAATGGGTTATGTAATATAATTATAATTTTATGTTTAATTAAAATTTAAATATTATAACGAAATGTTAATAAAAAGCTATTAAAATGCTATTAAAAATAAAATATATTAAAAAATAAAATATATTAAAAAATAAATATTATATAATATTATATTAAGATTAATTTTATATTAATATATATTTAAATTATTAATTTAAACCTTAATAACTTTAAATTTATTTTTATTTTTAAATATTTTTATAATTCCAAAGATCCTTTTATAATAAATAGTTAAGCTAGTAAAGAGCAAATAAATAGTTGGGTTAGGGACGAAAAAAAAGGGATTTTTTTTTAAAGGGGGCTATGTTAAATGCTAATATCATGTCGCGTCATATCACATTATATCAAGACTAAAAGTATGTTAGGAATGAGTACATATTAGTGACGTGTAAATAATGCAAGGCACACAAAAAAACATACTATTAGAACCTTGATAGCATGTCACTATCATGTCACTATTCCATTAACTTGCTTGCAGCACCCAAACGAAAACCCCCCCTCCCCCTGGTAGGTAGCTCTCATGCAAATGAAGAAGACAAAAACCAACACGACGAAATAATGGTAGGAAAAGAGTTGGGCGGTGAGAATGATGGATCTGAACGGGCGGAAGATTGCTTAGAGAACCAGACCGCTGGCCATGAGGAGGGTAACAGTACCGATGACCCAGACTATCAGCGCTTAGAGAACTCCAGCGGCATAAGGGAGTGCTCTGGCCCGTCTCAAAACATAACCACCCGCCATTCAGATGATGAGGTAGACTCTTCAGCACCGTTCCCCTCATTGGCAGCTGCAGTCTTCACTCACATTCCACCACAGACAAGTAGCCAAGATCGTCATGTTGCCACGGGAGGCATTGCACGCGAGGCATCTCTATCGGCGCCGGGCAGCAGGATGTCGACTACAACAGCTAGGGCAAATTGAGTCTGGTTATTATCGCCGAGATATTTATCCTAGGCATAAAGAACATATCCATCGCTATCTGCGTGAAAACCCTCAAAGCTTATAAATACTATGGTCTATCTAGTAGAAGTCGGCTTGTGTCCAACAGCCATGTGTTCGGCCTTATTCACGGTGCCGCCGCTATTTACATGGAACATGTCGCCATTACCAAACTGAATGTTGAGATCACCGCTCCCCGAGTAGACAAGTGTGACCTTACCCGCCAGCGAATCGAGCGCCTGATTGGCCTTGGCGACCTGGTCCGGGGTGGCGAGGCGGAGGGCCTGGTTCGCACCGAAACTCTTGTCATTGTCCAGGATGCGGCGCGTCAAGGCCTCATTCCGGTTGTCTGAGCCATCCTTCTTATTGCAGCTGACCTCCTGGAAGGTGGCGGGGAGGTCCTGCATGTTCTTGATGTTATTGGATCGTGGCGATAGCTCATCCAAAATCTCTTCAAGCAGATCAGCCGTGAATGTACAGCCTCGGCTTTGAGCAATGAGCTTAGCACAGGAAACGGCATTTTTGATCTTTGCGAGATGGTTGTTAGCTGCTTCACGCGTCTTATGTAGCATCTGTGGAATTATATGGCCTACCTCGTGTCCGTTCACCTCATGATCTGTAGCGATTTTCTGGAGCTTCCCCTCGTCCAGACTTTTCACAAGGCCCAGGAAAGACTTCCAGAGTGCCAGACGCTGCTTACTTCCTAGGTCTCCGTAGTGGATCTTGAAATGAAGACGGGTCAGCAAGGCCTTGTCGATATCCTCTATTCGATTCGTCGTAAGGATAGCGAGCCCCTGAAAGGACCTGCAGAATTATCAGTCCAGCCCAGAGAGACGTAGGATGGCGCCAAGCCTAAGAAAGAACTTACTCTAAGCGTCTCAAGAAAATGCTCACAAGCGCACTATTGATTAGGCTGACGTGGTCCCGCCGCCGGAGAAACACGTCGCAATCTTCGACTAGCAGCACGCACTTCCACGAGCTCGCGGCGGCGAAGACTTTGCCGAGCCGCCTCTCAACGTCTGAGCCCTCAGCCCCCAGCTCGCCCGCGCTGACAGCGTACAGCGGGCGGCGCGATATCTCAGCAACAGCCTCGGCCGTCAGCGTCTTGCCGACGCCAGGGGGGCCGCTCAGCAGCCCGGCCAGGCCGCGGCCCTTGTCCTTGGAGACATCATCGGGACCGCCGTGCCTTTCGTCCTCCGCCCGGTGCGCAGACACGAGGCTGCGCAGCAGCTCGCGCTTTCCGGGCGGCATCATGACCCTGTCGAGGGCCTTGTCGTTCCACTCCGGATCGCGCAGCTGGCTGACGGCCAGCGCACTCCATTTCTTTTGGTCGAAGCTGAAGCCGATGATGCGGTAGTGGCAGAACATGAGGTCCTTGTCCGGCGTCTCTGCCGGTGAAAAGGCCTTGGAGCGCGGACAGGACGGCTTGCGAAGCGGGTCTGACGAAGAATCCAATTTGGGAAAGCGACTGGGGTCGACCATGACCCGCCCAGAGATGTGTAAAGTCTCTTGATCCCACTCGCTACCCGCGCGGCGTGAGATGAGCGCCATGGCCCCGTGCTGTCGACACGTTGGCTGCGCCAGCAGGCCAACGAAGGTCTTCCCCCGGGCGTGTAGTCTGCCACGTAGGTCCTTCTCTTTTGGGTGGTACGCTAGGGGATGCGCGAGCAGGGACGTAATGTGCGCAGTGCCCTTGAAGGATGAGATTTTGAGGAGTTGCTCGGACCAGCCGAAGCCCTGGCTGTCGTGGTTGAGGCATTCAGACTGAATCGCGAACCACTTCTCGCCTGTTTGTTGGTCCTCATGGTAGCCAAACGACTTGCATCGTAGGATCTGTGGCTCATGTAGGGCGTTCACATCCGTGTAGACCTCGACGCGTGGCGGGAAGAGACACCATAGCAGGTCGTAGCTGATCAGCCCCTTTTCCGAAAGTGCTGTCAATTGGGACGTCGTTGTCGCGTACTCCTTCTGCACCAAGGCCAGCGCCCCTTCGATATCGCTGATGATCACGTCGTCCCGTGTTTGGCCTTTCTTGGCACGTTCTTGGTCTAGTCGTTGACGGAGAGCCGGACTCGCATGCCAAAGAATCTCGCATGTGACCTCGGGCTTCTCCTTATCGAGTCCTAGGGACTGGGAATCCGGAAAGACATCCTGGAGGACACGAGAGAGACTTTGAGAATTGATCTCGACGTGAGTGCTGGCTATTATGTCCTGGTTGCGGATATTGCGTTTGACGATGAGTGCATCACTTCTGGCCGAAGGAACTCCATTTTGAACGTTGCGATCCATCTGGAAATCTTTTGCGTATAAAGATAAAGTATAGGAAGGTAAAGCCACTCTGGAAAGCGAAAGGGTGCTGCGGTCGAAACGATTTCAAAATGACACCGGTCCTGAGCTCCTCTCTACGGTAGATATATGTGACCGACGACATTCTTGTGGAGAGATTGTATACCAACAAGGCGGCACCAAAACATGACCACAACTGCCTGATCCACGCCGCGCAGGCACAGGAGCCTCGCATGGGAATGGTGCGATCAGGGCCGAGTCTCGCTCTAGCCGCGCGGTTGCCTCTGGGTCTGGTAACTCGGCGCTAAACGCCAGGGGTAGGGTCCACAGTGTACATGCACCACAAAAGCTGGATAGCACCTGCCTTCAAGTGGGCATGAGTGGAGCGCCGTGTCCTGCACAGTGCATCAATCAAGACTTTGAACTTTTGTCCTTTCCTCCCGAAAGGATTACCGCAGTAGTTGTTCTAGAGAGGGTGCGGCAATTTCTTCCGGGAGACAGGCATAAGATGCAATGTCTCGTGCATGAGTAGTGGGTTGGCAAGCAAGGTTGCCAATTCCATGAGGTCGAAACGGTGGGGTCTGATTGGAACATGGCATCTCACTTCGCCTCCGTCGCATTGCGGCACAGCAGCTCAACAAGTGATATCTGATACTATGCCGACACATCCATACTATGAGTACCTAGGTACGTCGTTACAACTCAGCAAGGCGAGAATTGCAAATTGCCACTCGAGTGATCGTGTGTCAACCTCGAAGCTTGGAACTCGAGCGGGGCTGCTGTGTGTATCAATTCGTTCTAACTAGGTGTTCCGTTGTAATATTACGGCCGGATTGCCCAGAGGTGTTTGCCTGACTTATGCGAACGAGTTGATTTGCGCGCTTAGGAAAACATGGTCACAGCCATCGAGCCAACAGCGACTAGCATCCTGGGCAAATGTCGGTAAAATCGCCCAACAGATCGCACAAGAGGCAAACGAGTTTGAAATCAAGGGGAAAGGCAATATGAAACAATATTTGTGGAAGCGCCGAGAACTACAACGTCGGGTCAACCATGATGAAAGGGACTCACTAATATCTGCTGCCGCCGATGAATGAGACATGCGACTGAAAACTAACACCTAGAAGCGGTACTTCTAGCCTAGTATAAGACCAGTGAACAGGCTATCGAGGTATAGTTGTGTATGCGGAAGACAGCGCGGACAATAAAAGTGGCATAGAAGGTAGGACAGCACACATCCAACGTTCATATTTGGGATAGCGACAATCATGACGCTGATAAAATCCCATCAGATATGTATAGAGAGCCGCTGAATGCCTGATTGGGCCCGAGGCTCCGATATCCCACAGACGCCACAACAATTAGAACCTTCTAAACAACCACCTCGCTCTCGTCCTTCCCAACACGTCTATACCCCCTTGCGGAAGGGCGCCACCCCCTCCCACCACAAGCAATGCGGTTCCAAACCAACCAGGCACAGAACCCCAGCCCAAGCAGAGCAAAAACGTGCTCCACAAGCCCAAGCACCCCGACCCCGACCTGGCCCACACCCACCACACCGGGCGTCTGGCCACTCCCACTCTCACCAACAGGACCATCCGAATCGCCAAGGCCCTCCAACAGCGGAAGGACGTCCGCATCCCCAGTGATCTCAGGGAAGCAGTGCCACCTCCCACAAGTCTTCCAGTCCTCCTTGGCGGGGACGTACGTGCGCACCTTGGAGCTGTTGGCGAGCGACCTGCCCTCGGCGTCGAGCGCCTCGGCAAAGGACCAGGGCCGCGCCCCGCCGACGGTCATGTTGGTCTCGAACCCAGTCCGCGGCCAGTCGCCGGCCCACTGGAAGTCCTCGTCGGGCGGGGGCTCGAGCGACCCGGACTGCGCGGCGGCCGACTCGAGGATGGAGACGTGGAAGCGGTAGGTCGCCGCGCGGGTGTCGCCGTTCCACGAGACGTACATGGTCATCAGGGTGGCTGGGGTGCGGGAGTAGGCCCAGAGGTCGGGGCGGGAGGTGGGCTTGCCCTCCCATTGGGTTGGGAGGGCGGCGGCGGTCGTTGAGTTGATGTTTGTGCCTGTGTCGGTCGTGTTGGTGTTGTTGGTATGCGGGTAGAGGAAGGCACGGTAGTTGTTTGCGCTCCATGACAGGGCCTCCGACGGCGGCGAGGGTGTCTGTTGTGCCGGCAGCAAGTTCGCGAAAAAGACGGGCTCGCTGTCGCCTTCGGGTGGGTACTGGGCAATGGCACCATGGCGGCCAAAGTGAGTCAGGATGTGGCCGTTGGGGAGGAGCTGGACATTTCCCATGCCGTTGGAGTCGATGTATCGCCTATTGTCCAACTCTGTCCCGTTGAATCCAGCTGCTCCTTCGGGGACCCGACCGTATTCGGATATTTGCTTGGCTGACATGCCTTGTGTGTCGAGCTCCACCACCAGCGCTCTCGACGGGTTGCCCTTGAGGGCTGCGCCGTCATTGTTGTTGTTGAACAGCGAGATGATCATGCCTGAACTGTTTATGTATGAGAGGAACCTGGCATCGTGCTGCCGGGTGAGGTTAAAGCCTTCCATCTTGAATGACGACTTTGCTCCCCCGAGCCGCCAGATGATGCTCCCGTCAAGGTGCGAGACAAGCATGATGGAGTCCAGGTGGCGCACCGAGATCAAGTAGTCACCTGCAGGGGTCTTGTCCACGCTGTTCAGGTGCACGGGGTCCCATGCGCGGTCGGGTGTCTGGCCCTTGTGAGCTGCAATGAACTCCTTGCGGCTGGGGTTCTCGTTGATGTCCAAGTGGTCGGACGCACACCACTGAAAGGGGACGCGGCCGTCGTCAGAATAGAGGGGAATGTCTTCAAAGCACGAGTCCAGGACCCACAGCGCATCGAGAAACCTCGGTGGGTATGTTGTGATCAGCGCTGTGTTGTCGGATGTCAACAGGAACTCGTGGAAGTCGACGGGGGCTTCATTAGAGGCGGCGACGGTGCGCACGATGTTGTAGGATGTGTCCATGATGACGCCCATGCCGCCGCCATGGGTTCCTCGCTGTTGGCCTCGCCAGAAGCATAGATGTGGTGCATTACGGTACTGGCAGACGTACAGGCCATGCACATCTGTGCTACCTGCACCTCCAGAGGCGGTGATGCCCGACCATACCAAATTCTGAGAAGAGTGTCAGTGTATAAATAAACGTGTGCAGCGGATGAAGAGAATCTGGACGGGAAACAAATCGGAGCCAGGAAGATCAAGCTTACACCATCAGTATCAAAGATATAAGGGCCAGAGTCCGGTCGATATGGGCTGTCGAAAGACGGCGAGACGAAAATATAGCCCGGCGTGGCCCGCTCGGGGTCAACAGTGAGGATGTTCAGGCGTGGTGGCCTGAGATCAGGACGCTTCAAGCCATACAGTCAGTACCGACCCTCTCAAGGTGTCCGCGGGCATGAGACGGCATGTACTCACAGAGTAGTAGAATGGGAGCCTCCCGTACCCCGGCCAGTACTCGATGAGCGGACGCGGACGTTTAGGCATGCCGGGCTCGGGTGTGATGGGACGATGCCGGCAGGAATGATGTGCAGCGCACTACGCTCCCGTATGATTCGTACCGACGATACAACGTCGGGTTCTGTCCGAGTAGTAGAGCCAGAGGTTTCCGTCTGCCGGAGCTCGGATGGATATGGCGACCTTTTCTCACACCACAGCCCGTTCCCGCACACTAGCTGTACTCTTCGAACAGTGCCTTGAGGAAGTACGTGTGTTCCGCGTACCGGCGGGTTATTCTAGCCTCTCGGTTTGGATTTGTTCAAAGTGGCTTTCAGAAAATTCGAGACGAAGCACAACAGGATGATGATGATGTTAGGTTAAGCACAGAGCAAATGTCAAGGTGTCGTTGGAGCCAGGCTCAAACGCCAATGTCGTCTCTGGGCCGGTGTTTTGGGACGTCGATCAGACGGGAGGCTAGTGCGGTTCCCCCTGGCCACGACCATGTTTAGGGGGCGTCTTGGTGTTTGAGGTTTCCAGGGGGCCACAGAGATCATCTCGAGTCGAGGAACGTTTTGTTTCCATTAGCAGAGCCTCAATAGCCCTTGCTATTAAAGCAGCAGCATCGTAGCTCATCCATTCTGCTGGCACTGTTGATGTCTTGGAGATCTTGGCTGAAGGGCTGAACGTTGTGTGATGTGTGCCATTTGCTGTAAATCCACCCCCAAGACATCTCACACACGCTTGACTTGGCATGGGTCCGACTCCCGAGGCCGATTCATGCCGGCCAAGAATCAAACCCAAGGGATCGATACCGCGCAAGGACATCTCCTCAGGGCTACTTGGTCATACTTGTGTCTGCACTGCACGTGAAAATTGTTGCGTCCGTACTTGTAGCCGTGAGCAAATTTCAAGTTGTTGTTGATGTTTGGACAGTTGGTCTTCAGGGTCCAGCGTGAGGGGGTGGATCGCCTCCAGGATACCCCTGCCCTGAAGCAGGGGGCCTGAACTCGGGGCCGTTTGGCCGTTTCCAGAAGGAGTTGGTGCCGTCATTGTGGAGAGCCTCAACCTCACCTCATCGCAGTGCTGCAGTCCTGTTTTCCAACATCGAATCAGATATACCCGGAGATCTTCTCGCGGGCACCACCTTATTCGAAGAGGGCTAGATCACGCCGAGGGAAGGTTCGTACAACCAACAGTGCCTCTTGTCCAAGTCGGCCGCCATGGCCCCTCAACAGCAGCATCAACGAGCAGGCCTCAGCCGGTTCCCGATGGCGTACCGCCTGTTCTTCCTCTATATAGAGCCCGTCTCGGCCCTCGTGGGCGCCTTCTTCGCCCACTTCCGCCAGGATGACTACCTCCTCCTAACCCACGCCGCCTCCGCCCCGGCCCCGGGCCAGATCCCGACCGGCACCTCCATGGTCCTGTCCCAGCTGGCGAACCTGTACCTGCTCTTCACCCTCAACGAGGCCCTTGTCCTCCGCTCCACCTCGGACCCGCACGTCTGGAAGACGGTGCTGTTCGGGCTCCTGGTCGCCGACCTGGGCCACCTCTGGACCGTCAGGCAGCTGGGGCTGGACGTCTACCTGCCGTGGAACTTTGCCCGGTGGAATGCTATCGACTGGGGCAATATTCCCTTTGTGTATCTGGGCGCCAGCATGAGGGCTGCCTTCATCTCCGGGGTGGGCATGGGTGGCCGTGGGACAGAGGCCGATAGGGCCAAGAAAGGCTGAAGTTGGTCCGAATTATCGGCCACTGCTCATCAGGCCCTTGGCAGAAAGACGGCGTATCGGGGTCGGAGACCTGCAATCATTCCGACGTTGTTGCTGCCGCAATCGCTTCTCCTGGCCTCGAGGTGGGGTCGACGAGGTGATTTCCAAAATATAGTGGCACGGATATATGAAGCTCTCTTCCCACACACCTGGTCGAATGCACAAGGATGATGGCCTCCCAATCAATCCATGAATTCCGTATCATTTCCCATCAGGGAACTAGCTTCTGGTCACCTTGACCTCCTCCGTGACACGGATCGCATTCGCCCCGGGCTGACCCAGCCGCTCGGAATCCCTCTCCTCAACGCCCAGAATCTCCTCGTCGCTGTGATTCTCGTCCTGCCTGGTCCCAATGGCGATGGCATACGTCGAGGTACTCCCCATCTTCTGCTCCCCAAGGCTGGGCTGCTCGCTGCTGTCCCCGCCCGGAGACGTCCGCCTCTTGCCCGCGATCCGCTGCCCGGCCCCGCCCCGCGGCAACAAGGTGCTCCCGCCGAAGGTGTGGAGTGCGAACCCGGGGGTCTGGCCGGAATTGTCCTGCCTCTCGTAGCTGCCCGTGCCTCGGGATGTGAACTTGTCGAGGAAGCGGTTGTACAGCGGCCGGCAGACGGGCACGGCTATGCAGATCATCGTGACGGCGATTTCGGCGGCTGACCAGATTATGAGGCCGACTGTGTCTTCTGGAGAATGTAAAGATTGTCAGCGGGTGAATAATCTCCAGTCCTTCCGATAGTTGGTTTCGACGAACTTGTGTAATTAGGGCTTGACAGTTGAGGCACGTCAATCGTTCTTTTGATGCCAAATGCTCCAGCTCTGTTACCAGATCGTCAGCCGCTGTGGAAAAGCTCGTTTCGAAGACTTTCCAGAAGGGAAACCTTACATGACTCCAAGACTCAGACTAATTAGAGTCACCATCTTTTCCCGGCGACCCATCTGGAGGTTCCAAATAAAGAACCACGGAGAAATGGCGAAGAAGAAATCCGCCAGGACACAAAGGACTAAACCGATTTAGCACCAGGATTTTCTAGCGGCCGTCCCTTACCCGCCGACTTACTGCACAACAACATAGACACCGGTGTTGAATCAACCTGGCAGTATCCTCCTGGAATGCTGCGGTCCCAAAGATATTTCGGCGGCGTGCACTGCAGCCAGAAGACAAAGCAGGTAGAGATGCTGGCCCCCATAAGCGCGGCCATGACGACCCAGATCAGAACCTTGTGCATCCTCAGGTGGATGATGCGCAACAGGAACAGGCCCAGTGACCATTTTGCAACAGCCATTCCTACGACCGCGAATGTCTGCCCGATGGCCTCGAAAAGGATCGCGTTAGAGAGGTCGCTTGGCTCCAACGTTGAGGCGCTCTGGCCAAAGCCATAATCGGCGGCGATGGTGATGAAAATGGTGTAGCAGAGCAGGCAGATCTGCGCCGACACCACTCTATAGTCAGCAAGGGACAGCAAAAACGAGGGATTTGGGAAAATTCTTGTCGGGGACTCACAAAAGCGAGATTGTAGACGTGGTCGTCGGCGCCGTGGGATTGGATCACGACTACTCGAGTGTAAGACCGCAGAACCACGCACACCAACGTTGGGACCACCATGATCCACATGACCAGGACGGCCATAGGGCCTTGCCCACCCATCGCCATCGTCGACAAGTCAATCCCCCGTCTCTGTCGCTGGCGATGGCGCGAGTCTATTGAAGCTACGTGGTGTGGAAAGAAGTTCTGGGGGCCGCCTCAGTCAGAGGCAAATTTCTCCAGTCAAGCACTCGTCGATCAACGCACCGGTCAATCAGGGGGGGGGGGGGGGATCTACCCAGATCGGGGGATTAAGGCAGGTATTCCCATGTGTCATCCGTACACGTTACGTTGTTGTGCACAACGAGGAAAGTACTGCGGTCGCAGTCACGGTCACAGAAGATGCCCACTCCTGAGGACACTCGATTATGCAGTCTATCGTAAAACTGTTGCCGCTGAATGCATTACTTACTCATGTCTTAATGCAAGGGGAGCCACTCCCAATGACAGGCTTAATTTGGAAGGGGGACGCTGGGAAGTCGTTCGCGTTTCCAAATCTCCGCCCAAGCAGCCAACCGAAGGCCTGATATTTGCCGATGTGGGGGGTCTTACAGTAGTTTGATGTTGCCGACATAAAAGGACAAACAAGCTCGCCAGTATCACTGATATATCTAGTTGCTGGTTTATAGTTACATTCATGCGTTCATATGCCGACCCGACCTTTCTATGCAAAATCGATGACGGACCCCTAATGTTCAGCGGCACTCAGGGGACATCTACGTGCTTCGACCGCCTCAAGCGATGGTATTTTTCTCGGACCCCAGTCGAGCTGGTAGCGACCACTATGTAGTCAGCCTTTATGTAAGTTTGAGGCACGTGTGGGCTCTGGTGGATCTTAAACATGGACAAATGCGTGCTGTGGAAGGCCTATAGACTAGTAGCATCCCGGGAAAATCTCAACCTGCGTCCTCGCGTCTCAACGCCTGCATACCATATTCTCCATGGTTTCCAGACCGGTCGCCCCGTTTGGAATGTAAAGCGACGCCTGTGGGTTACCCGGATCCGTAAGTGGGCCCAGTGGCCGTATTTTGATGCCTTAGGGTTGCATCGCCGTCGGGGTCCCTGGAGTCCCAGCGAGTTTAGATGCCTTCCGGGGAACCAGTCCCTACACCCGACAATTAACCATCACATACGGATTGATCCTCGCCATCTTGATATTAAGGAGTAGGGGATTTGGCCGTCAATAAGCGCCAAAACAATGCACTTATCCATGAACAGGGTGAAAAAAAATGGTGCATTCCAATGGTTTTCTGATCAGAGCCTCTATGTTAGTAGTCCAATTTCATCCGAACAAACAGCAGTGTAAGGGATAGCACAAGAAGATCGTCAGGAGCCCTATGTAGTGTACGATCATACGATGTCTAGTGTTGCCATTTTTCTGTGCAGTCTGACCCCAGTAGCCCAGGCGATTTGCCCTATGAGGCCCATCGTGCGGGTGGATCCAGCGTGGTATCGTCCCATAGTTACTCCGTGCAGCCTACCACTGGGAAGGCAGCCATTACACTCCCTTCCGTAATATTGCCATTCCCCCGAATTCAATTCTTTGCTTGGGATAGACCACCTGAGCACCCAGGTTGGCGTTCATGGAATTCAATAGCGACATCACACAGCGTTGAATTAAGTGTCACCCCCTCAAAATGGACGCAAAGACGGGTTACCTTGAAATAGGCACGGGCTTGCTAATACGGAAGCCGTTGCCAGCGCTGGGATTCTTTCTGGTCGCCTTGCCAATATTCGTTTTCCTGACGTGGTGTTTACTGTCCGACTTGGGATCCTCTATACGTCAATATCCTGGACCATGGCTGGCTCGTAAGTCTAGTGCTTTACTCTGTATCTGACCACTTCAATGCACCTAAACGAGTTCAAGGGTGACATTGTCATCTCGAACTGACTTGGACAGGGTACACGAATTTGTGGCGTCTTCTTCTCGTCCGAAGAGGAGATTATCACATCCAGATCAAAAAGCTTCATGAGATGTACGGCCCTATCCTACGCATTGGCCCTAACACATTGGACCTTGACATTCCCGAGTTGGCCAAAGTGCTCTACAGCACTGACGGCAAGTGGCGCAAGGTACGAGATTGTCATTAGCAAGCGTGTGTAGACCCCATGCTGATGCCGGAATCGGGTGAGCAGACAGAGTTCTACCACAACAACAGCACAGTGATCAATGTATGTCGAATTCGCTGTCGTCGCAAACTCGCGGCGACAGTGATCGAGACTCTGAAGCTTCAGGCTCTATGTTGCCGATAAAATCTTGGCAGTGCTGACGGGAGAATACGCCACAGGGTAAAATTACCTACCATCTCTTCAGTACCACGGACCAGGAAGAACACGCCCGCATGAAGAGAGCGATAGTCAAGTATTATTCACAAGGAAGTGTCTTAACTCTGGAACCTTTGATGGATACCGTCATCGGCGACTTCTGTGATCATCTTGAAACCAGGTTCATGAATGGCAAGCAAAACCCGGAGTGCGACTTGGGCCAGTGGATTGGATTCTGTGAGTAGCTTAGACTTACCGTAATCAAGCAAGAGAACTTCACTGACCAATTCTGCGTAACCACAGACTCATGGGACATGAACGGCGCTGCTTCCTTCAGCGAGCGTTTCGGCTACATGGACACTGGCCGGGACCATGACAAGACGATCGAGATCGCGGACAAGGCATTGGACTACTTTGCAGCAGTCGGGCAGATGCCATTCCTGGACTTCCTCATGGACAAGAATCCAGTGATGCGCATCGGCCCGCCAAACCTGGGTAACATCACGCGGATTGCAGGTACATTGATACCCTCGACACCGCGCCGGAAACAAGCGAGATAGCGAGAGTATCACTAATCCTTGCTTGCTTCAGTTGAACATCTCATCGCCCGGTCCTCTGGCACGGATCTCAATTTCAACCCAAGGGTCCCAGACTTCCTGCAGCACTTCCTCAATGCCAAGAACACCCACCCGGACATGGTCGATGACGGCGTCATCATGGGATACCTACTGGTGAACTTGCTCGCTGGAGCCGACACCACGGCTATTACTATCCGCGCGATATTCTACTACGCCCTGGGCCACCCGGAGGTGTACAAGAAGCTGGAGGCAGAGATAGTCGCCGCCGATCTCGGCAAGATTGCTCCGTACAATGCCGCTCGTGCACTACCCTGTAGGTCAAATTGACGATCATGTCCAGCGCCACGCTCATGACTAAGTGAAACATACTGACCCAGGGTGAAACAACCAAGATCTCGAGGCAGTTGCCCGCGAGGCAATGAGGATGCACCCCGGCGTGTGCATGCTCCTGGAGCGCTACGTCCCCTCCTCCGGGCTTACTCTCCCCGACGGGTCATTCGTCCCGCCCAACACGGCAGTCGGTATCAACCCATACGTCGCCGGCCGCAACAAGTCCGTCTGGGGCGAGGACGCGGACGAGTTCCGGCCGGAGAGGTGGCTGCGGCGCCCGGCCGAGTCGGACGAGGACTTCCAGAAGCGGCTCAGGCTGTTCAACGCCTGCGACCTGACTTTCGGGGGAGGTTCTAGGGTTTGCATAGGGAGGAACCTGGCGAACATGGAGGTGTACAAGATCGTGGCGACGTTGGTGGGCCGTTATGAGATCCAGCTGGTTGATCCGCGGAGGGAGTGGGAGGTGACCGGCAGCTGGTTCCCGAGGCAGAAGGGGCTTATATGTACTCTGAAGAAGAGGGCTTGAAGCGGCACGGCGTGGCCCACACCGGTATCCTAGAAGGGTGTTCAGCTGGAACTCCATATTGAGGCAAAGACCAATACCCGCCATGCTCGGAACGCGGGTAAACGCTAAAAGAGAACATCATCGAGTCTGTAGCCAAATTCTCAAATCGCGTTGCCACCTTCTCTGCAATCTGACTGATGGCTCTTGTACTATATCGAGTGCAAGGGAAGTTTATTAGCCCTGGACCACGTTGGTTTGGTCTTCACTACGTAGACGGAGCTCTCTCGTCTCCGAACGCATATCTGCCTCCGTTAAAGCACTGTGTATGCTGCACATGACATATTCTGCTCGGTACTTGAGGCAATTGAACCACTTTTGTTCCGAAGTGGAGACAATTCTGAGGCACGTCTTGATGTTTCCCAATATCAAACTACTTGGGTAGGTACACAAGCAAGTAGTTCAAAAGCCTCCCGATGTGGCACCGGTGTTTTGAGCATTGCGTCCACACTAGAACCATCACTCAGGCCATCTGATTCGGGTCGCCTCTGAATTTTCATCCTTAAACTGCAAACTCTCAATGCGATTTTTGCAGTGTCCTTGAACGAAGTATAGCCTAGTTGCAGCAAGTCACGCAACCGGCGGGTGGTCCCAGGCAGCAGACGTAGCACTACACCACCGTGCATCAGCGAGATGTCCTCGATTACATGTTTCAGATGGGAAGGCTTACTCCTTGGGGAACCGCGGCATTAACTGCAGCGTCCTCTGGGGACACGGGAGGGGCTGCCAAGACAGCTGCGGTCTGCAGGGCGAGGGCGATGGCGATCCTGGTGAACTCCATGTTGACGACGGCGATTCGGACTGAATCTCTGATTTTATCAAGTTGAGTTGGAAATAACTGAGGCTTTGCTTTGTTCTTAGAAAGAGCCTGAGTGAGGAATCCACAAATTGCTTACCGCCCCTGATGGACCCTTCTATTTGTCGAACATGGCAGTTGACAACTGACTTTATATCGTTCACAGAACAATCGGACACGGATCAAGTATATCGGTTATCGGACCGCTCAACCCAACTAGTAAAGCCGCCGAGTCTGCTACAGCGGATTTTACGTGCTGATCGACCGAGTGTGCGCAACCAGCCTAGTCTTGGAGGAGCGAAGGAACGAAGGATTGCATACACCACGCTGTGAGAGGTGCGCCGGACCGCGAGACCGACCAAATCCTCTCAATCATCGCCCTCATTGACCCCCTCAGAATGGATGCCAAGACATAGCACCATGTTGGAGGGCGGAACGTCGAGCCCCAGCGAGCATTCTATTACTCAACCTGGCCGCGCAAGCAGCAACCTCAGCCAGCGCATCAATCTTCGTGAGAGGAAGGATCATTCGTGTATTCAAAAATTCACTCAAGTTGCTGTGTATCTATCCAGAGGAGTCTAGAAAATAACCATGCAGGATCATGACTATGGAACTTGATCGATGCCTCAGCGGATGCCGGGCCGCAAAGAGTTCAACCTTCTGGACAAAGCAAATGGGATGGGCAATCACCTGGACCGAGGCTTCCATGACGGGTTAAATTTGTCCCGTATGTCCATTGATGGACTTGCACAAAACGAATCGTTGGGACAAGTTCTCACTACTTCCCCACGAGGCGGCATTTCCCCCCTTCTCGACCCGAAGTCCGCTGGGCTTTGGAGATCGCCGGCAGACTCCTCAACCACACCAGCGAATATCTCCGGATACATACTCTTTGCACGTATCCGTGATTCTTCCATTATGTAGCTTGAGCGGATCAGGTCGATTGATGCAAACCAGTGACGCCGTAGTATTCGTATCTATCAGGGAACCGGCCAGCGATATTTCGTCCCAATTCCTACCACGTCAAGAGCTCTGAAAATCGCGGTAAGCTGAGAACATGAGTATCGCAAAGCTCTGTGCTTCGGGTGACTTAGTCGCCGGTGTCCTGTCGTTCCAGTTCAGTGGGTTCACCACAGGAGCCAGCAGCCCGTCACTTCCAATCATGGTTGTGACTGCCTCTCTCTTTTCGTCTGCCCAAGCTGTATACTTCAACCCGAACCTCGCTGGCTCGAGCTGGACGACCCGGTAAGCTGTGGCCGCGAGCAGCGTCGTCCCCGCCAGTTCAGCAAACCAGGTGGTGTCGTTGAGGTAGTTGCGAAGAAGCGGCTGATCCGGCTCAGCACTGTCCAGGGCGATGGCGCCGTCTAGAATACCCTTGATACTATCTACCAGCCTCTCGAGCAGCAAGTCGTTAGCCTCAAGTTTCGAATTCTTAGCCGTTGCCAGGACACGGCTCATGCCTGCGGCCGCCCAGGCATTTCCCGTGCTCCATATGCCCTTGTCGTTGTTCCCATCCGGGGGTCCGATGATGTGGTGCCAGAGCCCTGCTGCGTTCCATGGAGCATTATCTCCGCTCTCGTTGGCCGCAACGCCCAGGACATCATGATATAAGTTGCACTGCTGAATGGCTACATCGAGCAGGGTAACATTGTTGGTCTGAACAGCCCAGTACGCTAGCGTCGGTGGAACCATGTAGATAAAGTCAGCCCAGAGCTCCACGTTGGACTCACGGTGGCTGATGGCGCCGTTGTCCCATCGTGGAACATTATCGAGCAGATGAGTTGCTTGACGCTCCGCCGCCGACAAGTACTCGGGCTCCGTCTGCCCGATGAGGATTGCCGACACCCCGAGAGAGGCCGGATCACCTGCGGCACCTATTGGGGTTGTCAATTTCCATTGCCTGGTGCCGAATATGCACATGCACCAGTCGCTTACCGTCGCCGTCGATGAGGGTCGTAGAGTTTGTCCGAATGTTCGGCTTGGCGTATGATAGCGACTGAATGTCGCCGACCTGCAGAACCGGGATTCCCCCGTCGGGGAATGCAGCCTTGCCGAAGACAGAGAACTCGGGGTTGTACCACTCGAGCAATGCCTCAGAGAGTGCGCCGTATTCCCAGCTGTGCGATGCCAGCAGCCGGCCCTGCATAATAACGTTATTGATGAGTTCGGACGTCATATCGAATTTGTCACGTCGTAGGTACGAAAGTCGTGTAGTGCAAGTGGATTGAGCGGAACACAAGGCAAGCCAAGTTAGAATTGCGGAGGGGTAGCATTAAATTATATGGACAATTCACAAGCCACGGAATCAATTCTGCACCTTCGCCCCCCACCAACTCAATTGCATTACGAACCACACCATCAACGCGCATGCTTAACAACGCGTCATTGGTCACTTTTGGAATACTGTACAACTTCGCTAACTTTGCCCAGAACCCGTGATACCACCTCGTTCTACGGCAATTTCCAGCCCGAGCGTCCCCCCTGTTTTCTCGACTCCGTGGGTACTTTCGATGGTTCTCCAACTTCAGCGCGTCCCCCAGTGGCCTTCCAGCTCAACCAGCCCGCGCCCACTCAGCTCGCCCACAGGCGTTCCAGCAATCTCGGACGTCATCCCCGAGGCTTCACGGGTCAACGCAGCTGGCATCGCACTTGAGATTGCAGGGGTCGACTGCAGTTCAGGCTTGTCGACTCTCGCTTGGCCGTTGGCCTCCTTTGCACTGTCCAGCCGGCTGAATCGCTTCTTTTTGACTCTCCAGGCGAGCAGACCGACCAAGGCCAAAAGAACAACGCCCCCGATAACACCCCCGACAATAGCTCCTGTCCTGGTTGCGCGTGTGCTGTCTGACCCAGTCGTCGCAGTCGAGCTTCCTGGGGGAGCGTACGGTTCTGTTTGGTTTGTCGTCCCAGTGAATAATCTCGCGAGGCCGGTGCTCGTCCACCCCCCATCGGGGAGCAGCGTCGTCGCGTTGCCAGTCGGCCCTCCCCCAATCACATCTGATATTATCGTGTTAACCTGGTAGGGGGCTGCATTGCTATCGAAGACACTTCCCCAGCTCATCGTGGTCAGGTCGAGGACCGCCACCCCCATGGATTCCCAGTCGCACGTTGCTGTGACTTTTGAGCTTGCGATACCCCCCACTGTAATCATTTGGCGGTTGCCGACAATGTGGCACGTATGCCCATATCGATTTGCGGTGCCCTTGAAAACCTGCATTTACTGGGTATGAGGCCAGGCTCATCTCTTGCTCTCAATTGTCGTCGGTGGGGGTTGACTCACCTTAACCCATTTGAATGATGGGATACTCAGAACCCAGATTTCGTCGTAGTATTCATTTGTTGTTGGATTCCATCCTGTCCCTGTTCAGTGTCTGATACGCTTCTTGAGCCATGAGTGCTAATGAGGGAACCTCATTTACCTCCATACATGTGAATGTTGAAGCTGGACTCGTCAGGGGCCGAGACCATGGTAACGCAGAAATCGACGCGAGGATCCGGGGCCGCCCCGATGATTGTTTGAGTGTACCACCCATTGTCTGAGTTCGTGGAAGTGGAGTTGAAGGCGGACTCGACATCAAAGACATGGACTTGTCTCATGCTGACTGGTATTGCAATGTATCAGCCACAAGAGAGCAAAAAGTCGGAGATAAGTGCATCAGTCTCTACTTACTGAGTCTCGAATTCTGATCAAGCCCTGTCGCTCCACCAAAGGAGATCAAGGTGCCCATACCGCCAAACCGGGCTATCGAAGCCATACCACCTCGCAAGATCGGATCGCCGTCGTTGAAGATGTCAGTTGATATGTTTTTGGCCTAAAACTTCAGATGTTAACGGCGTTTAGGTGGTTGAATTGGGTGACAGACTTGCCTTGTGGTGCAGTAAATCAAGAACCACCATTCCTTGCAAGGTCCGTGGTGCAGTATCACCGGAGTAGTCTTGCCAACTGGACATACTGTCAATTGCACCGTTGAGATAGAAGCCTAGACCATGCTCCGGTATTTCGGCGTATGCTCCCCAGCTCGGTCTGTTGGACACATTCATCAAGACATCATATTGAGTCCATCCGTATGTGTCAGTATCGAAGCCCCAGCTACAAACTTCGAAATCAGTATTTCAACACGTCCGCGAGAAGCTGCCGGCAACTGGGCACTTACAGGATGTATTGGGATGTCGTGGGCATTTGAAACCGCGGGAAAGAGGTATTGATGTCAGGTGTGACGCCCCCAAACAAATATATTTGTTTGTCATTCGGCATTCCGTGGAAAAGAGCACCAGATTGCACAATGGGTACATTGTTCGAGGTCCCCAGCGCTACAGTCTTGCTGATTGCAGTCTCGGTGATGTTGGTCTTCCAATCCCATGAGGTGCTTAGGTTCACCGCGATGACATATTGATCTTGAGTACCGTCAGTGAATGTTCACCCTGACTGAGACTCATGTGACTTGCTCGGGCCAGCAATTACTGTATCAGTGTAATTCAAGTTGTCGTTGACAGGTCCCTGTTATAAAGTAGTTTGATGTTGGTGACTGCGTTGTGCATACTAGATCCATCGAGGTGTGCATCAGAGGGTGGGCTCGGATTCAATCTGCTCACGGTAGGGTTGGATGATCGGTTGGAGAAGGTTTCGATTCCTCCGTCAATGAAAAGAACTCCATCCTTGACTTGACTCTGATGGTACCAACGGCTACACTGCAACTTCAGCTCGGATCAAGACAGGGAACATCGCCCTGAGTGAACAAAAAGGGCAGATTCGGCTTCGAACACAATCTAACTTACTTGCAGTAATTGTTGATTGGATCCAGGCCGGTGGCCTTAGCCAGGGACGCAACGAATATCAAGCCGAGAATTGATGTCCATGTCATGCTGAATTACAATTTACTTTCGCAGAACCTGGAATGAAATCGGAAACGGACAGTAAAAGAAACTCAAGAGTACCGGAAAAAAAAAAGCTTGACACAATGTGGCCTGCTTTTATCCACGCCTGGGCACATGCCAGCACCGACCCCTTTCCCGCCGTGATCAGTGGACCAATTCCACTCAATGAATGGCTGGTTGTTTCACCGCATGGAAAATCCAGGTAAAACAGGGCGACTGCATCCTCCATGTCACCCCGCAAACTTTAGGCTTATTACATGGCGTACAGATACCATGTAGTCACTCTGGTGGGGGCTAGATCTGCTCACTCAGGTAAGTAGCTCCCTGTAGCAAGCTGCCTGGAGAAACGACATCTTCTCAGCCTTATTCACAAGGAAGATACGCTAGCCGCTTCTGAACTTCGCGCTAATTTAAACATGGCTTTCGACGGCTTTTGTCGACATGAAGACCACCTATGCCCTGTTCTACGCATCTCGAGATTGAAGTTTGGGAGTTTAAAACAATAACAAGAAGATATAATCATATTGTAACCATCTCTACCTCAATGTTATGGAGGGAGAACAAAATTGATGTTCATTTTAACCACAATCTCTTCCGTCCTACGGGTCTATGTACCCAGGTGCATTCGGTACGCTTTACGGAGAACTGCGCCCTCGTGTTCGTCTGTTGTATCGCCTGGAAAGCAGGGGCGGGAACGGCCAGGAAGTTGATTGATCACTTGTGCATCCTCATGCGCGGGCACCCGATTCTGTAGCTGAATGGAAAATGCAACGGGACGTGGATATGCGGTGCGAGGCACCAATACAAAAGAGGGGAGGGAGTGCTGGTGAGTTGTCATGCACACGGCATGTTGTGCGAGGAACAACACCAGCTGACTGGCATGTCAAAACTTTCTTTCCGGGTAGCCTGCGTCTCAATGATACTTGCACATTGAGTCGGCAGAAAGTCAGTCTCCAGCACTCTCTCTGCCTTTGTTGAGCTTTTTATTCCTTCTCCGTCGTTTAAGGGCGTTGGGCCTTTGAGGTGAGACTGTGTGGGAGTGATTCTGAGGCAATGGCTAAGTGATTTAAGACTATGTTATTACAAAGGTCCTTTGGGGAAGCATCAACCATAGATATCAAAAGGTCTTGTTTTCCTGGATCAGAGGCATCCAGTGCCGCCAGATGCAATTTAGAACACAGTGGGTAGTGCACAGCGCATCGAGCGATTTTCCTGACCGGTGGCCGGAAACGGCGACGTTGAGGGCTGAAGTAGACAAAATCCTACTCTGCAAGCGTTCGGTCAATTAATCGTGTCCAGCCCATCCTCGATCTATAACCAATCGCCCACTTGAAAGGTGGTCGGAGAAAATTCTGCGCCACCCAAACCTTGGGGCGATATGCACAACCAAGTGCCCCCCCCCCACGCCGTAGATGTTAGTTGCTTCTCCAACTCGGCCGTCCCTCGGCCATCCTCCAGTTCTCCCCTTCGCCCGCAGGCTGGAGCCCAGGCAGTCCGAGTCTTGGACGCCGCTCCTGGTCTCTAGAAGCTGCAACAGCAGCTCGTCTTCCATCTCGTCAATTGGATCTAATGCAGGTACGGCCTCCCGATTATCGATGAAATGGGTAGACTCCTTTGCACTGTCTCAACTGGTAGGCAATGTTTTCTTTATTATTATTTGTGGCTAGACTTAATTACGTGGTTTGTACACCAAGATCCGCCAACTCTTCCCCGGTGGGAACTCTTGCCTCAAGTGAAGGTCTGAAACTCTGCCTATGTCTTACCCTTAGGGGGGAGCCTTGACTACTATTTACCTTGGAGTACCAGTAGTGTATTTACTTGTGTACGTAAGGAGAGACATCCTCCCATCTTATATTGCTGCCCTCATTTTCCATGGCCTCTGTTTTGCATGAAGACTCGTACCCTATCTGCGAGGCTGCCAGTATTAGGTCTATCAATCTTACATGCATCCAGATTAGCCCTCATGTTAATGTGCAAGATGGTCTTCACAAATTGTCCGAATTTCGACCGTGGTAAGTGTTATGGTAGGATTGTATTACCGCTGTGCATCGCGATCCCGACACCACCTGCAGTGGGCAGTGTATCGGAGCCTCGTCAAAATCACCCACCGGACACATGTGATACGCTTGCAACTGGGCATCTAGGTCCGCAGGATCGGTCGAGCTGAAATACATCCCTGACACAACGGCTTATGCCGATCCTTTCATTGGTGAAGCCAGCCACGGGCTAATGGCCATGACCTCATCGTGCCCCGAGGTCCGCAACGACGCGCAAGTTCAATATGAGTATGGGGGCCGGATTGCAGCCAAGTGCTGACGGTGAATATCTGAGAGATTGCTTTTCTTTTTAAAAAGTCCGCCCGGCTATCTGGCACCCTTGATCCTACGTACTTTAGATCAAAATGCCACATCCCCACCCTATGACACTACGGCAGTCGGTGCCAGTGATGGGGAAGTCCAAAATCCCATCGGGCCGAGTGCTTATGGATCCATGCCATCACAGTACCGCACTTGATAAATGCAGGCTGCCCCGGAGAGGGAAGGGGCTGAGGCTCTCGATGAGCTTCTCAATTCGCACATAGCTGCGTTCTCCATGATCAGCACCTTGAGAGGCGGCTTCCTAAGTAGACGCCCTGAAGAAGCCCCAAAGTCCTGCTCGAGAACAGACGTAATCCAGAATTCAGCTCCCAAAGATGTCGGAAATATCACCACAGTGGTCTCGCGTCATATCTGACCTGCGCAACGACCCCGAGTCCAGATTCAAGGACCACCGCAACCTCCTCCAGGATGCCACCCTCGACGTTGCGGCCCGCGAGCTCACTCAGGTTGAGTCTCAGCATTCTCGCGAAAGTACGAGTTGGAAGGCCCTGCAGAAAGTGAAACCGCTCCTGAATGTTCTCGACGGGTTTGCCGGGTTTGCGGGCACCCTCGCTTCTCTTGACCCGCATGGCATTGCCTCGATCGTCATTGGCAGCTTCAGAATAGTCATCAAGGTGAGAATAATGACAACCAGAGATCCCGCCCAGTGCTGATTTGCCTTTTGGTCCTCAGCTTGCGGGTGGCTACATGTCGGCCTTCGAGAAGATCAGCTCGTCTTTCGCATACATCCACGATGAGTTGGGTAGGTTGCTTGCCCACGAAAACAGATTCAAGGCAAAACCCTCGAAACGCCTCAACAACGTCTTGTATAAGGTTTTCAAGGCATACTGGGCCTTCTTCGAAGATGTGTACGGGCTGCTCTACTCCACAAAGCGCCATAGGTCGAAGGGCCTGGGTTCGCATTTGAAGGATTTTGTAACAGGACACGTTGCCGAGGTCGAGTCTCACATCAATGGCTTTCAAGAACTGTGCGCCACGGCGAATAAAGAGATACAACTGGCATCTGAGCAGAAGAGGGATGACGATAATGCCACACTACAGGAAGGGATCGAGAGAATACTGGCAGAAATGTCGAAACAGGAGCAGAGGTATTTCCGTCAGGATTGTCTCCGGTTCAAGGACTGGGTTGCACCTGTCGACATGAACGAGAAGATGAAGACGCTGCTCAAGAAGAGAACCCCCGGCACAGGCAGTTGGATCTTTCAGAACAAGTCCTTTCGTTCTTGGCTGGATGGCGAGTCCTCAAACGAAGTGAAGACCCGCTCGGTGCTTTGGTTGACAGCAGGTCCTGGCTTCGGTAAATCGTCCCTGGCGGCATTTCTCGCCAACCATCTCGGGCGCACAGTCACAACCGGCGTTGCCTATTTCTCCGTCGACACCACGAGCAACGAGACGGACACCTCGATTGTACCTGCGTTGCTGCGGACAATCCTTGACCAGCTGTTCGCTGTCGATCCCATCACCAATGAGCCACACTTTGAGATCAAACCTTCGACAATCCGCAATGCAGGAGCCTTCCGTCCCGCTGACATCGTTTCCTACCTCTCCGTGCTCAAAGAGACACTGAGGGAGCAGAGCAAGCCGACGGCGATCATTATCGATGCGCTGGATCAGTGCCCCAGCAACGAAACCACCCAGTATCAGCTTGAGGAGCTCTTATCAGCCATCACGGGCCTCCCGTCCACCTGCAAGATCCTCCTTGTGTCACGGCCACATCCATGGTTTGAGGAATCGGGGACGTGATGGCAGAGCTCCCGGTCCCGAAGTTCCTCACAAAGGATGACATCTCGCCGGACATATCTGCGTACGTCCTGAGCTCCTTGGACGAAGTCACGGAAGATAAGATGTGCAAGTGGCAAGACGATTTCCGAGACGATCTCGAGGGCGAAATCATCAAACGCTCCGAGGGCATGTTCAAGTGGACAGAACTGGTCGTCAAAGACCTCAGCACTCGCAAGGCGAAAAGCGATATGGGCTTCGCACGGGCAACGCTCGATCGCGTGCCGCGCGGACTGAAGGAGATCTACCAGCGGGCACTCGAGAATATAGGCAGGATCGAGGACGACGAGGAGAAGCGCCAAGTGTCTCGCATTCTACAGTGGATCCTCCGCAACTATCGCCCACTGCGGGTGAAGGAGATCTCGGCGGCTCTGGCCAGCGAGGCCGAAGATCCCTCGAGTGACCTGCGCGACTTGCTGGACAGGCATCTCAGCGACCTTGTCTACGTTGACTTCGAGACCGACATAATCACAATGACGCACCACACCGCGACCGAGTTTCTCACCGCCAGCACCCGCTACCGGTGCGCAGATGGGTTCCAACTGATTCCCGACCAGCTGGCTGAGATCGACCTAGACATGCTCCTGGCTTGCCTTTCGTTCTGGAATGACTCTGATCGCCAGTTCTTGGATGCAACTCCAGTTTCGCGCGAAACCGAAGAACGGTTTGAGGAGGTTCTCCGGGGATACGATGCAATGGAATACTCGTGCATCGGCCTGGTCCATCACCTATCCCAAGTCGCCGAGGCACAGCTGTTCCCAGAAGAACTTGAAAGTGCATTGGACTGCTTCTTCCGCCTTGACGAGCACCAGAACCTGCTGAGGTGGCTCCAGATGTTCTGCTACCTCCGCTTCACGAACCGCAGAGGAGCAAACGAGGCATACTCGGCTGTGTTTGAGGCGTTGCGGGACGCAGATTCAGCCGCTCATAGCCCGCTCCGGAGGCTTCTCGACGACAAGTATCCAGACATCAGGGGCCATCTCGGGTTCTCGGACGGCGGCCGTTTTCTCCGCTGGCAGCAAATCCTCGCAAACCCCGTTCCGCCGTGCTTCAGCGCGACGCTGCTCGCGTCCTTCTTCAACTTCCCCGGCGCAGTCGAGTCGTTGGCAGCGGAGGGCGAGACGCTACATTACGGGCGCGTGACGAGGCCTAGTGCAGTGTTCTGGGCGGCCTATGGTGACGCCACCGACTCGATGGCACTGCTGCTCAGCAAGGATTACATCGACAAGTTCCCTTCGTTTCGGAACCCAACTGATCAGGCGGCGCACCACCCCTCCCCTCTGCTTGAAGCCGTCCGGCTGCGCGAGCATATGGAGTCACGCCCTGGCACATACCCCACGGCTATTATGCTCCTAGACCACGGCTGCCGGATCTCAGACGGCTTCGAGATCACGCTCCTCAGTTCTCCTCCTGACTCACCTGGGGCAAGGGAGCTCGCTGAACGCGTGCTGAAGATTCCAAACGCCTTCACTTTCCACCAAGACTCGCTCGGCGGCATCATCAACTACGCCGTCTTTGCGGGCCAGTCACAGATCCTGGCAGCCTTCGTCCAGGACAAGAGGCTCCTGGAAAATCTGGCCGCAAGAAACCCATCGCTGCAAGACCACGTAGCCGAGATTAAGAATCCCGAGCTGCGAGAAAAGTCGGATTTCTTGGTAGCCATGCTGGCCGGCGTGCCGGGCCGCCTCGAGCGAGGGATCAGCGCGATGCAGCTCGCGGGTCTCAACAACGACTCGCGCTCGATCCGTCTGCTTTGCCCGTCCGAATTTTATGCTCGGCACCTGACCAACCATGTCGGATTCAATGGATGGACTCCCTTGCATTGTGCAGCGCAGAGAGGACTCGAGGTCTTCAGGCAGAAGAAAGGTCACCACAACGAATGGCTCACGACGGTGAGGAGCATCCATGCGGAAGACCACGGCGTCAGCGCGCTTCTCGAGCTCTCATCGGATCCCGACCTCGCGGACCGGGCTGGAAACCTTCCCATCCACCTTTCTGCGTATCACGGATGTGAGGCAACTGTCTCGCGGCTGTCACAATGTCATAATGAATGGGATAGGGTCAACAACGAGGGCAAAACACCGCTGGCCATAGCTCTACAACTCCGCCACCTCGAAGTGGCCAAGACCCTCCTCAGCAGAGGCGCGAGTCTTGACAAAGTCTCAGACGACGTCCGCCACCAGTTCAGCGTCCTCCGCGACGACGCCGCCCACGATGTCAAGATCGAGGCACAGAGGCCTGAGTGGCTGTTCTACGCAGCTTGCATAAGGTCATATACGAGGCGGCAGGGCCGACCAGGCTTCCCCCTGCCGATCGTGGCCCGCATCCTCCGGGACTGCGGCATCTTCGAGGTCGTCGAGGTGGAGCGGCGCGACGAGTACAGGTTCGAAGAACGCACCCCGGGAATCCTGTACCTTCAGAGCCCGCCCGTCACACCGAGCAGCAGCAGCCGGCCGGTCGAGGGGCTGGTCGTCGAGGCGCGGTCGGGCCTCGGCGAGTGGGCGTGGCTCAAGGCGGAAAAGTTCGAGGGCGGCGGCGGGCGCGTGGTGCCGTGGCTTGACCGCCGCCTCTTCCACCGGGGCAAATGGGGATACGCGGACGACTCTGCCACCTTCTCTGCCGATAATGCTTCAGACAGGGCGTACCTCGGGTCTCTGAGGCCCGGCGACCGCGTGGCCCTCGTGCCTCTGGGGATCTACCCGGCCTGGACCGTCGTGATGGAGCACGCCCGCCTCAGGCTGGTCATGTCTGGCATCAGGGATTACTTTAGCAACCAAGACCGCGAGCGGATCTGGAAGCCGCGAAAAATGGAGGAGACTATTCCCAATGCCGTACAGATGCGGTTCTACAAGAACTATGGCAAGGATGCAAGAAGAATTGTCGGCATCCCGTTCAGGCACGTGGACGACAACTCTTCCCGTTCGAACACGCTACCAGTGAGAATGGTGTGAGAAGAAAAGGTACTGGCGTGCGGATGTTCCCCATTGCCTACTCTGGGCTTTCGAAATAGTCATATACGGGTCTAATGTTGTAATGATCAAGTTCCATGAAGCGCCGAAGCTTTTACTATTCTCTTTGTTCAGGTTACTTCTCCTGACTCTGCATGATGGATACATACATGAAAATGCCAATATGGATTGATATCAAGTGCTTTGAAGACATCGATAAGGAATAATGGATTTCAAAAATCAAACCATGTGACGTACATAAGTTGTGGCTGTGTAACGACGAGCGGCTCAAGTGCTGGCTGACGGCACCCTCAATAACCAAGGTCCCTCAGCCATCCTTCAGTGCTGGCTGCACTTCACTTACACATCTAAGACCCGTGAGCGAGTTTTGGGTGCGTTTTTCGATGGGTAAGCCTCTGAAGGAACTTGCAGCCGGAAATGGCCGCATGAATGGGCCCAAAGTACCTTTGCACAGCTTCTTTCATATCCTACCTGTCATTCAGGCCTGGAACGAGGCACCTTATAGCAGCTAGGCTACTAGATACTACAAGGCAGAGAGAAATTTCAACGGGTATTAGCTCCTTATATTATAAAAGTAATAGCTTATTAATTGACTCAATACCCTTGCTTCCCTATAACTTTAGTCTTTGATAACAGAGTTCTCCACTATATTCAAGCAGCTACATCGAAATGACTCACCACGGCAAAACCACGCCGAAACGACCAAAGCAAAATAACTATAGCACAATGACCACAGCGAAGTAGACACATTTTATAAACCCACGTATATGCCACCCAGGGGACCCGTTTGGGTGACCCAGCCAACCCAGACAGGATGCCATGTCAGAACCAACAGCACTGGGGTGCGTGGATGGGTAGAATACGCATTCCAAATGTGTTTTCCGTAATTGTGACTAATCAAGCGTTACTCAACTACGGACCTCTCCACACATGGGCAGTGTAACCGTCAATCATAGCCAAAGAGAAAGAAAAACAAAGAGAATTAAAAACAGGTCCGTCTAAGTTAGGCCAGATGTTAAATAAGCTCTGTCAGATCCAATTTGGGCTACGAACACTCACCAAGCCAGGAATGGCATCCGCGTGATCTCATAGCCCATTCGCAGTCAAGTAGTCAAAGATGACATGGAAGCCGGCAGACGCGTTGTAGTGCAGCGTGAGCGCGTGGCCAGTATTGGGCTGAAGGTAAAAGGACGGGTTGACCGCGCCCGGGAAGAGTACCTCGATGAGCTCTGGGCTCCCGACGCCGTTGCAGTCGCCGCCGCAGGTCGGGAAGTCGTACTCGCCGGTGATGAACTGTTGCGAGGGGTTAGTTTGTCAGCGCTTTGCAGGAGACCATCACCACCACAATCAGCAACGTCATGAACCACCGACGAAAAACTCCCAGAGTGGAGGATGGGGAAAGGGGCGAGAGAAGTAACTACTAATCGTACGTACCTGAAGCGGCCCCTTAAAGTCCATAGCAGGCCCGAAAACAACGCTCTCGGAAGCATACGTCCCCACTGCCTCAGGCTGCTTAACCTCGTCCACATAATCCAGCATCTCAGGCGCGAATGCGCCCGCCCTTAGGAACAACTTTTGCATATTCTCCGGCCCAGTGGACAAGAGGTATCCCGAAGGATAGTGCGAGAACCTCGCGGGCGCGCTCTCGGCCGCGAAGCCGTGGTCAAAGAAGGACACGTTGACGAGGCCCAGATGGGAGTTGAGGTAGTACCCAGTCAGCACGGAGCCGTCGGAGAGGTCGCCGTGGCGGGCGAGGAGGCCGCTGGTTATGGAGGAGCCCAGGGAGTGGCCTATGTGGATGATCTTGGACGGTGGGTTCGCCGCGGTGAAACTGTCGGCGGTGGTGTTGGTGGCGGCGTTGGTGGCGACGATGGTGGATGAGCTGAGTAGCTGGCCGCTGCGCGCCAGCTGGGTCAGCACGGTGAGGATCTCGACTTCTGTCGGGATCTGCACAACGTCGTAGGCGTCGTCTGGGACGTCGGACTGGCCTGCTCCTAGGCGGTCGTAGGTTAGGAGGGAATAGCCTTGGGTGATTGCAGCGTCGAGGTAAGAGTTCTCTCGTGGGTTGACGTCAACGTCCCAGTATCTTTTTGACCGAAAGCACATGAAAGAGTTAGACAGTTGACATCTTCTGGAAGGGAACATTACCGGCTCTCTCCTTTTCTGTCTCTGTGGGATTCATTCCCCAAATTCACGGACAGACATACCTCTTGTCCCACCCCAGACCCTGCGTCGCTATCTGCAGGAAACCCGCCTTAGGCCCTCCCTCCGCCGAGGGCACACAGAGCTGCGCGCTGATGTTGAAGGTCTGGTCCACAGACACTGGCCCGGTGTTGCGGTCCAGGAAGCTGGGCGCGGACCACGCCGTGACGTTGAGCTCCCAGCCGATGGCGTCGATGCTACTGTCGACGCGCGGCATCTCGTAGTCTAGTTTTGCGCGACATTAATAGCCAAGAGGTGAGACACAAGAAAATGGTCATGACTGACGAGAGTTATTGGCGATGACCGGGACAGGCACCTGGAGCTGGACGCATTGCTTGGCAGCTGCGGACCTGGCAGATGTGGCTGCCGCGGCTCGTGCTAGGGTCATGAGCTCTGCCACGGCGAGAATGATAGACGAATATTTCATGGTGGTCTTTCTTCGTTTGCCTTGTGAAAGTGTGTGATATAATGCCCGTCGTAACTTGGATACTGCTCTGGAGTGTCTCGAGACCACGATGGCCAAGATGAAGAGCAGGACGGCGCGTTTATAATCTCACAAAGACCCATGCCATGACTCCATCAGCTTTGACTCGAGTTCAATAAAACTGTGATTATCCAAAATTCTGGTCGTGGCTGTCAAGTGAGGCGTGAGGTTGCGGATGAGCGGACAGGCGTATAAGCGTATAGGTTACGTCCCGCTGTCGGCAAGTAGCTATTGTCAGCAATAAGACTCGGACTTTACCGCATCATCATCTATACGGGTAGGTTCAAGTGACGCACTCGAGGCGCTGATGAGGTCAAACCACCAATCTCACTCTAGGGACAACTGCGGGAACCGACCGAGCTTCTACAGACGCACGCCTGTGAGATCGAGCTATCACCTCTCGATGTTTCTACTAGTGGCTTGAAGAATCCAAGCTCTTGTTGATAACGCGAACTTAACCTCGCCGAGGGCGGTCCTGTCCCAATTATCAAATCTTCAGGTCTTGGCACTTGACCGGCGCCAGCCGACAATACCCTGCCCTGCCCTGCCCTGCCCTGCCCTACAAGAGGGCCTCCGCTCGCTTACTCCCGCGAACTCCCTCCGGGCCTTATACAAGCCTGAAGCCTCTAGATAGGTATCATAATATTGTTTGCTCAGGTAAATTCTTCAAGCCCTATTTCTGAGCCGCTTCAGCGGCGCTCAGGAATTCCTGTTTGGTTTAGCTACGTACCGCGAGGCTTGCTAATTACGTATTTCTCAGGACCTACGAGGCCGCTCATGCGGCGCGGCTGTCATTGCTAATCACAAAAGCGGTATCGCGGACCGCGTCCCACAGGTATTACAAGAACAGAGCCTGGAAAACCGTTTGAACCTTTAACTTGATCTTTACTTAGCAGCATCTAAGGATTGTGCTTCAGTATATTACTCGCTTGAACTCTAGATGTTTAGAAAGTGAGATGGAAGAACGAGAAAGTACTATTGTTCTTAGATTCGGGTCTTTCACAGTGTCCATCGAAGTAAGTCCTCGACAGAGTGTATGTCGCCTTGCGAAGGCTCCTGAATGCTCACTAAAGCTAAACTAGCCTACACGACCGTAGAATAGCCGTTTCTGTTACGAAAAGATTGGCGTGTTCATCTTTGCCACAGCCTGACAGCGTGTGCCGACGGTCGGAGGTTCGTATTAGTTTGCATGCCGGTGGGCCCGATTATTCCGCACGCATGAATACTGGCCAGATGTCAGTCTCGGAACCCACCGAAGGACGAAAGGAGAAGGTGCTGCTTGTTTATGAGATAAGCAGTGGGTTTTATTTCCGTGAAGTAAAGCCAGGGAGCAGGGTGCGCGAGGAGTCACACGACAGTTCAACCCAAAACAAGCTTAAACTAAGTTGGGGGGTCTACTTTCCGCCACCCCCCAGTTCCCGCCACCCCCCAGAATAAAGCCCAAAGGAGGACCATTAATTTTAAACCTTGTTTTCTTTTTCTACATAATTACTATAATATAATCACCTTTATTAATAAATAATTTCACATTATTTATTTTATTATTAACAACCTTAATTATATTAAATATAATTTATAACTTATATATATTCTTAATTAAAGCAAACTTTTTATTTAAGTTTAATTTAACCTTGTTTTTTTAATTTAAGGCTTTTTATTTATTATAATTAATTATAAGTTTTCTTTATTAAAGCTTTTTATAACCTTTTTTAATAAAATATATTATATATAGCTATATATAATATTATATATAAATATATATATAAAAAGTTTATAAATATATAATTATATATAATATATAATATAATATATAAAAAATTAAAGAAATAAAAAAAACGTAAAGAATTAAATATAAGTATATATATAAGTATAAATATAAATATAAATATAAATATAAATATAAAATATAAAATATGTTACGGTTTAGGCTTTACCCATTGTAATTAGTTAGTGGGCTTTGGCCTTATAAGAATAGGCTTTAACGTAAATATAAATGGAAAGCGAATCTTTTCCTTTGCACTTTAAATATAAACCTTATTTAGGCACCTTATGGTAAATAACTCAAGGCAAGCCCATAATATATATTTAAAGTCCTCTTATATTATAAATTTATAATATAATTATATAAAACTTAATATAATAAAACTTAAAAAGAATAATGGCAGCCCGTTAAGCCCTTTTTTATTTTAAGAAACTCTTATCTTAAAAATACTTAGCAACTTAGCTAGTAAAGATAAAGGCTAAGTTTATAATAAATAAAGAAGTAATTAATATTAAAGGGGCTTAATTTTTTATATATTTAATTAACTAGCAATTTTTTATAATTAATTTTTACTTTATATTAATTTTATAAAGATATTTAAGGAATAGCTAAAAAGCTTTTTAAAAAAGGTTTGCCTTATATTTAGGAACTCTTTTAAGCAAAGATATATTAAGCTTAGCTTAATTATATTATGATAATATTATAAAAAGGGGATAATAAAATTTCTTACTTAATTTAATTAATTAGCTTATATAATAAAAGCTTAAAGTTAGCTAAATAAATATAAAATATTATTAATAGCTAATAGCTTAACTTTTATAATAAAAGCTTAGCTTAATTATAAGGAATAGCTAGATATATTTAAAGCTTTTTACTTTGCCTTATGGTAATATAAGGGCGTTTTTAACGTTATAATAAGGGAGGATAATACTTAACCTTAAAATAGCAAAGTAATAAATATTAATATTATAATAATTTTAATAAGCAAAGTTAAGTATTTTATATATAGCTAACTTAGCTATTATAAGTATAATTATTTTAATTATTATAAAGAAATAAGGGTATAGCTTTTATTAATTATGGTTAATAAGGGGGAGGAGTTTATTTAAGGGAGCGTAAAATTTTTTCTATAAGGTAAGGCTTAAAAGTATTGCTGGCTTAATATTAACTTAGGCTTAAAGCGGGTTAGCTATATATTAGTTAATTTAATGCTATAAAAATGCTTAAAATTTAAGAAATTCTTATTAATAAAGCAAATTACTTATAATTAAGTATTAATTAATTATAAATTATATAATATATTTATGGTTTTAAAGTTTTAAGTAAGAAAGCTTATATAAAAAGCTTATATTAAAGAATTATAAAAATGCTATTAATTTAATTATTAGCTTACTTTAATTAATATATTAAAGTATAAGGGCTAGGGTGTATTAATTATAAATAATAAGCTAGGCTTTTAATATAATTAAAAAGCATTAAGGTATAATTAAATAGCTAAATAAAGAGTAATGTTTAATTTATAATTAAATTATAATATTCTTTATTTTTTATTATATAATTATTCTTTAAGGCTTACTATAAAAACTTAAAAAAAGAGGATATATTATGATTTAGGCTTTGCTTATTATAATTAATTAATGAGCTTTGGCGTTATAAAAATAAGCTTTAACGCAAATATAAATAGGAAGTAAACCTTTTCCTTTATACTTTAAATATAAACCTTATTTAAGCACCTTATAGCAAATAGCTTAAGGCAAGCTTATAATAAAATATAAAATATAAAATATAAAATATAAAATATAAAATATAAAATATAAAATATAAAATATAAAATATAAAATATAAAATATAAAATATAAAATATAAAATATAAAATATAAAATATAAAATATAAAATATAAAATATAAAATATAAAATATAAAATATGAAATATAAAATTTAAAATATAAAATATAACTTTAAATATAATTATAATTATATAAAATAATTAAGAAAGAATTAATAAAATGTTAAATTTTACTTATAAATAATTAATAAAATAATATAATTTATTAATAAGTAGCAAATATTAATAAATAGCAAATTTTCATAACTTTATTTAACTTTAATTAATATTAATATTACCTTAAAGCTAATAAATAAATAAAAAGTTAGCATTAATTAATATTAATTACTTTTAATTTTTTATTTTTAATTAATTTAATTAATTTAAAGTAATTAATATAAGTTTAAGATAAGTAACTTTTAATAAGAAACTTGCATTTTATATTTAATAATGCTAATTATATTATTAAAAACGCAATTTATTATAAATTATTAAAATAAATATATTTATATTATTTAATATTAATTAAGCTAAATTTATTATAATATAATTAAAATTTAATTAACTTAACCCTTTTTTATCTTTTTTATAAATTTTTATATTATGCTTAATCTTACTGCAATTATTATATTATTATTTAATTAGTTTATTATAAATTGCCTTTTTAGTATTACTATTTATTTTATTAACTAGCTGCTTTTCTTTTTATTTCTTTTAAGTAAAAGCTTAAAATTCCTTAATAATAAATATTTTTTTAAATTATATTAAGGTTTTTTTAGCCTTTTAATATTTAATAAATATTATATTAATATCCTTAAAAATATAAACTTAATCCTTTAAAATAATAAATTTATGCATTATTACTTATATACTTTTTATTATTTAATTAATAACCTTTATAATTAATATAAAGAAGCTATCTTAATAAGTAAAGATTTTATCTTTAATAAAGCTTAATTACTTAATAATTTATTAAGTATTAAATAATATTTAAAACTTTTAATATTAAGGAGAAATAAGAAGGATTTATATAAAAGTTTATAAGTATATATTAAGTTTAAAAATAATAAAATTTAAATTTTAAGATAAAGTTTTAGCTTTTTTAAATATTATTTTAATATTATTCTTTATAAAGGTTTTATTATAAGCTATTATAAATATAAGAAAGAACTTAAACTTAATAATATAATTAATAAATGCTTAAATAAAAAAGTTAATTTAATTATTATTATTAATGGGGGTAGGGAAATATATAAGAAATAATATTGCATTAAATTTTAATTAGCTATAAAAAGTTAGCTTTTATACTTATTTTAAATATTTTTTTAAGAAATTAATTTTTTTCTTTTCTTATA